TCCATGTCAAACTGCCTCCGACTGCCCAGCACACACACATCCTTTGCCATCTGTATCATACAGCATGTGCCAGGGTTGATTTCAAAAGCTGCTGTTCCCCCTCCCATCTACCTGAAAAGGCCCCATTTGGACTCAGGGAAAAAAGACTTGCTCTGTGAGACATAAGGGCACACAGAGGCACAGATGTCCCCCCACCCCTGTGACAGCACACAGGCTGGAGAGAAAACACTGTACACACTCGCCAAAATCAAGCACATCACACAAGATAGCCAGCATACCCTGATCCAGTCCTCCCATGGAAGCAGATGAGTTCATGCTGAGGGTCTGCTTGCTCTGGTTGACTCCCGGGCTGGGCATGGTGGCTTTGGGAGATGGCACCCAACCAGGGGAAGGAACGGCCATAGAAGGGGACTTCAGGCGGCTCGGAGAACCAGTTGGAGACCGGACGTTAAGTGAGGAGTTCATCACCTGGGGAGACTTGAGAGGTCCGGACTGGTTTGAAGGTGGCATGCTGACCATCTGTGAGGGTGTCTGCGGGGACTTGAGGTTGGCAGAGGGGGAGGTGACCAGTGGCGAATGCACCTGGCTGAGGGTGGGAGACTTGAGGTGGCCCATGCTGGGGGAGTTCATCTGGCTGATGTTGATGGTGAGGTCGGAGGGCCGGCGGCCCAGCCCTCGGGAAGGTGCTGGGTGCATGTTGGCCAGGTTGCCCCCTTGCGTGGGAGTGGGATTTGAGGCAGGGGGCAGAGGGATGTGGCTGAGCCTGGTGGTGCCACTGATGCTCCCAACGGGCATGGTGCCCTGCTCAGGGCTGAACATGTCCGAGCTGCTGCCCATCTCCTGGGGCATGTTGGGATAAGGCCCTTGCGTGCTTGAGAAGCCTTGCTGTCCTTGGTTGGGGAACTGGGAGGGTATCATTATTTTCTGGGGGCCCCCAAGTATTGCACTGCCATTGCCATTCTGAGCCCGTGCCCTGGCCATCTCCTCCGGGCTCATGCCCTGGTGGGCCATCATATCAGGACCCCTCATCTTCTGTGACATCATCATCTGCTGCTGTGGTGTCATCTGGACATTGAGGTTCATGTTCATGTTCATGTTGACGTTCATGTTCATGTTGAGGTTGCCAGGGCCCATGGGTGCATCCATGTCCCGAAGACCTGACTGACTCATTGGGGGGCTCAGCATTCCCCGAGTGCCTGCAAAGTCCATTCCCATTGGGGCGCTGCTCAGGCTGTCCCCTGTTATCTGCCCAGCAAACATGGATGGATCCATCTGCCTGTGAGCCTGTATCATCCTCTCCATTTCCATGCCCTGGCTCATGGAGTTGCCAGACATGCCCATGGGCCTCTGCATTGCCACTGGGCGTTTCTCCATCAGCTGATGCCGCAGGATCTCCTCCCTGGCACGGGGATTCATGAACCTTTCAGGGTCCCCTTGCCCTGAGGGGTAGGGCAGGGTACCTTGTGGAAAATTCCCAGGGCCTCCCATAGGTGGCATATCATCACTCCATCCCATACTGGGTCTGACTGGCCTCTGCATGGCATTCATGGGCCCAAGGGCATCCAAGGGCATATTCTGCATCCCTCCGAAGCCAGAGACTCTCTGCATTTGATTCCCAGGGAACCGTGGCCCTGGGAAGGGTGGCCCTCCCCGCAACTGCATGGGGTCCTGCACATCTATGGGCCCCCGCAGCTGGTTGCCCATCCCTGGGGGCCACTGCTCTCCAGGCTTGCTGTGATAGGGTGGCGGGGGCCCACGCATCATCATGCTGCCCATCGACTGTGGGATCATGATTTCTTGCATGGGCCGGCCATGGATGCCAATCTGCTCTTCTTTCCGTCGCTTTTCCTCATAGTACTCTTCCTGCAACTTCCTCCAGGCCACTTGCTCTGGTGTCAGGCTGTCCTGGTTGAGCCGCTGCATCATCATGTTCATCTGCTGCCCCATGTCAGCGCCAGGGTGGTGGGGCACCTCGTGTTCCAGATTGGGCCCACCAAGGCTTTGGGTCTGGGAGATCATGGACTGCAGAGGTTCTTCATACTTCTTCATGCTGGTGGGGGGCACAGGGGGAGGGGCAGGGGCAGCCTGTGGTTGAGGGGTAGTCCCACCGTCGTCTGCATTTTGACTGGACTTCATGAAGGGCTCGGCCTCCCCGCTGCGCAGCAGCAGGCGCTCAATGTCCCGCAGGGTCTGCACACCGTCGTCTGCATTTTGACTGGACTTCATGAAGGGCTCGGCCTCCCCGCTGCGCAGCAGCAGGCGCTCAATGTCCCGCCGGGTCTGCAGAGAGCGCTCCCGGTGCTCCAGCTGCTCCTTGGAGAGCACTGCAGAGTTCATGGGGTTCCTGGGGCCCAGGCCTGCCTGCCCGTTCCCCGACATCCCTGGACCTGGGCCCTCTGCAAGGAGGCTGGAGCCAGATGTAGCAGCGGAGTCCAATTGCCCAGGCTGCATGGTGCTGGCAGGTGCAGTGGGTGTACTGGGGTGGTTACTTCCAGCCTGGTTGCTGCTGCTGTTGTTCCCCAGAGAGTTGGGAGTCAGGTCTCTCCTGACATCTTCACTCGTCCCTTCCTGAGGGAGGCTGCTGGGTGCAGGCAAAGGTGTTTGACTGATAGTCTGAGGTGGAGGCTGTGTTGGGGGAGGCTGTGGCTGTGGTTGACTAACTTGAGGTGCCGGCGGCTGGGACTGTGGAGTGTTGGCAACAGGAGGGTTAATGGTTCAGCAACCCCCAGCCCTTGGGGAGCTGGTGCCTGGCAGAGAAAAGGGAAATAAACATGAGCAGGAAAAACCCTGGGTAGGTGTTCTTCTCTGTACCCTGCAGGAGACCTCTCTGTCCAAAAACATGCCCTAAGGCAGTTCACCTTCATTCCTTCTGGGGACGAAGTGGGCCCTGTTACAACCCCTGGAAACACACAGTCAGGAATTCTGCCCACGTGGCTGTGGGGCCACATATCATGCCCCATCCCAAACTTTTCACAGCTGACAGCAGCCAGGAGTCATTCTGAAGTTCCAAAGCAAAGCAGCTTCCCATCCCACTCAAAGGGCACTCTGACAACTTATTCCTCCACAGCTGAGCCAAGAGCTGGGGGAGAACAACCAAAGGGAAGGGCCGGCAGTTAACAGCATGTGCGGATGGGAGCATTTAGTCATAGCTGGTATACCTGGTCTAGCTTTGCCCGTGGGACGTTCTGCTGATGATAGGCCAGAATGGAGTCAGCTCGGCCCTGCAGGACAGCTTCTGCAGCTCTGGGGAGAGAGCACAGACTGTTTGAAAACAGGCATTGTGCCCCATCCCCCCCCCATCCCAGGCTCCAGGTGTCACCTCCACTCTTCAGTCCTGTGGAAGGAGTGAAATCTCTGCAGGTCACCCAGAAGGGAGGATATTCTCAGAGTCCTCCCATGTGTCCCACACAGGCCCCATTGAGGTTCTCCACTTGACTATTGCATGCCTTGGTATTTCCCTCTCCTCACATCCTAGGGTCTGCCTTGTGCCTGCTGTCCTAAGGTAGCTGCTGCTGAGATACTCTGGAATCTATCAAACCCAGCCCGTGGCACAGCAGAGCTCTGAAACTGAACAGCCTCACTAAAACTACATGGCTGAGACAATGCAGGACAGAAAGGAGGAATTGAGGGGAGAACACCAAGTGGCATTCCCCGTGACACCCAGTTCCTTAGATACTCCTGAATCAAACCAGCGGTTCATACTGCTTTGGATAAATAATGTCGTTGGATGATGACGAGATGCACAGCCTAGGTCCGTCCAGGTCCCTTGTACCCAAGTGTAGCACACTGCAGGTGGGTGTGACAGGCCAGCCTTGTGCCAGGGGGGATGTTGCTTACGTGTTAGCGAGGTGAGTTGTAAAGACGTAAACAAACTGTGAAGGCTGCTTTCCTGTCCCACCGCCTCCGCCTGCTGCAGCATCGGAGCGCAAGCCAGGGGCAGCACCATGAGGCACGCTGGAAGAAGTGGTCTCGTTCAGGCTGGGCAGCGGGTTGGACCCTGGGCCAAGCTGTGAGGCTGTGGACATCGCAGGATCTGCTACATTACAATCTGCGGGGGCACAGGAGAGGAGATGCTCAGCCACGGCAGGCACCGGAGCGGCGGAGCGGACACCGGCAGGTGGCAGCACCGGCCCGGCCGTCCCTGCGGCCGCTGTTCCCCCCCGGTGCCCAGAGCGGGGATCGAGCCCGCGGAACGGACACCCCGAAAGCGGGGAAAGGGGGGATGCTGCCCGCTGCAGCGGTCGCTATTAATCGTCTGCTGTTATCAGGTAACATTACTAATTAATAAGCATCGCACTTACCGGGAGCACACAGTGCCCTCTTCTTGCCTAGCTCCTCACACGCACACACTCGCTACACCCCCTGTTCTCCTCCCCCCGGCCTCCCCCCACGGCCCCCACCCGCAGACCCACCCTACAGCACTGCCAGTAGCTCTCTTTAAAGATAAGAAACCTTACTGGAAACCTGGCAGGAGGACACACACATTGCCTTACTGCCAGCCCTTGCCCTTGGACAGCCCCACCTTGACCAGCTCTGATCAAGTAGATCCCGGAGCAGGCTGTGACAAGGAGGCAGCACTATCCCTGCCCACGAGGGCAGTAAACTGTGCAGAGAAGCACAAAGGCCACCCTCTACCTGGTTTTATACACTTCCGTGTTCCCCATCAGCTGTGGCCCTTTGGCCCTATAAAGCAATGTACAGCAGGGATACTCAACCTCAGACACCTTCTCCTCCAGCATTTTGGTACCACCTCCACAAAATCAGCCACAAACATGATCCCAGCACAATGGCCACCAACTGCAACAGCTCACACACCCAGCTAAGTCAGCACACCCAGGCAAAGGTAGAGGTGCCAGTGCTATCTGCCCTGCTGAGGTGCAGGAAGGACCTGGCTTGATTCAAGCTTCTGAGCTGGTAAATAGGTAGATACTCACTGTGTGCGCTGCTGATGGGCTTGTCGTCTTCCTCGCTGTCTGGCCCAGAGCACCATTCATCCCCACTGTATGGCTGCTTCCTTTCCAGCACGCACCGTCGCTTGCTACGGGGAGCCACCTCACCTGCAAAGGACACAGCCATCAGAAGAGCTGAAGAGGCCTGGCAGAGGCTGGAAAGGCTGGGGTCCTGGCCAGCTGCATGCTGGCACTTCCAACACAGCAAGGATGCACCAGGTAAGAAGCCTTACACTGACACCTGTCCAGCCCTGGTGGAGCATCTGCTTGATCTGGGCTCGCTATCTTTGCAGCCAGACCTGGCGAGACTTGCCTGTGAGAGCTACCAGTTCAGAATGAGAAGTATTTCTTACTCTCTGAAGACAGTCTGCAAACGCAGGACATGTCTAACTGCTGCTCCAAACCAGAACAGTGTCGGGCATTAACCCTAAATTTAAGGGGTATGTAATTTAGCAATTAAAACCTGAAAATGGAATGGGAAGGCATATTCACATTCTTCGTAGGAACAACAGACAGACCCTGCCCTTTGCAGACATCAATCAGGCAGAGGTCTTTATGCCCTCTGTGAATTTAGATGCTCCTTCCATTTCTCAGATGGGGCTGAAGCAGCTCCAAGAGGAAGCGGTTCATCTAAAGGCACCCAGGGACTTGGGGAAAGGAATCAAACACATGGTGGGTAACTTTCAGTCCTGTACCTAATGTAATACGGTCTGGCCTCCCTTTTTTTACATCACTTAGAACCCAAATACTGAGAGGCATGAGCCACAGCAGTGGCTCTGCATTTGGAGACCGGGTGTGAGTCCTGGTTGGAACCAAGGGCACCACCAGGAACATTCCTCCAATAATCCCTGCAAGATGTTCAAGCATCCTCTGCAGCCGTTAAGCACAGAGCTCGGTGGAATGCAAAAAGCAACAGGGAAGGCTGATGAGGACAAGGGAAGGCAGAGGGTTTGGAAGCACTGACTCAGCCCTTTTCCAGAAGCCACGTGCTGTAACACAAGAGTCATCCATTGCTGACAAAACCACAGAACTGTTCAGACAGAGACCCTCACAGCATCTCCTCACTAACCACAACCGAGTCATCAGGCAGCTGCAAGTCAACAAAGGCAGCTCTTTGTCAACAGCAAGGAGACAGAAAACAACTCAATGCGGTCCCAAATTGAAAGTCTGCACATTGCAAAGCAGGGGCATTTGGTGCAGTTTCAGTGAACTATGCTTTTGCTTAGCTGGCCTCAGCAGTCCATGCAAACCAGAGTTCCAGATTCCCAGTGTAACAAATAGTTTAGGGAATGAAATGTGAAGACAACGCTCAGACACTCTGGTCCCAAAACTGGGGATGTGACAAATGGTGATGCAAAGATACACAGGCAGCCGGGACATGCCCGGACAGAAGCCACAGCACAGAAACCCAAGATCCTCACAGCTGCTCCCATCCCAGGTCCTGCCAGGATGCTTGGAGCAACTGCAAGGAGGACGTGCTGAGGCAAGGTTTGGGAGAACGTTACCTTTTGACTCTGCGTCCTGTGAAGGGGTGCTGGATTCTCGCTGTTCTCCAGAGTCCACCGAGATGCTTCGTTCCCGTTTCACCTTGCCCTTCAAGGAGCTCAAGTTTGGGACAGTGTTCTGGCTGTTTTTCAGTCCAGAGTTGCCAGGGGAGATCTGACTGGCCTTGCTGCCATGACTGCCCGTCCCCACACCCTTCGAGCCCAGGTTGCAGGTGGGTGCTTGGCTCACATTGTGGTGCTGGGCCGGGGCACCGCTGCTGCCTGCCTTGCCATGGCTGGGCAGTTTGTTGTCAGGGTGCATTGGATTGGCTAAAGCTTCCTACAGTGCCAGTGGAGGGAGCTCCCAGCCCCTTGGGTCAGCAACCTGCAAGAGAAGAGGGCAGTGGGTGAGGAGGGTACCCCTCACATGGGCACTGGGCACTGCCCAGGGCTAGGGCACAGGGCCAGGCAGAGCCCAGAAGCCACTCATGCCGGGAATTGGCTCTGGCCCCTTCACACAAAGGATCCTGATCCACAGCAAACTCCAGCCCAGGCAGAGCAACCCTGTCAGCACTCCAAGGCACAGGCATGGGCATGAGAGCCCTTGTTTTTGAGACCATGATGAGAACAGGGTGCTCCATGCCAGCCTGGCCCTTTTGGTGGTGAGTTGCAAGGTAAGAGCAGAGTCAGGAAGCGCAGGCACTCATCAACTTAGTATCAACTTGGTATCCCTGTCTCTCCCGAGGGACCATTCCAGCTTTTGCTCCAAGGCCCTGAGTGAGGGAGCGTCCACTTCAGTGGCAGCTTCCAGTCCAGAAGGATGATGCAATGTGCCACAGCCCTCCCAGGACTGCAGGATGAGGCTTCCCTGCTCCAGACCCAGCCCAGCTCTCCCAATCACCCCACAGCCCAAGGCAGAGCATTTCGGGGAAGTGGCAGTTAGGGCAGAGCAAGCAGGCTTCGGGGCTGGGGGCCACACATGCAGCTGAGCAATGCTGCAGCAGCCTTTCTTGCAGGATCTATCTGCCTTGGCAGAGTTTCTTAAGCTCATGCTGGGATTCTTCCCCTCAGAGCTCTGCACAGGCATTAGGGATGACTGGGATGCAGCTCAACAGTACCTGAGCACACTGCATGTTCTGGAAGGCTGCCACCAACCCTCAGTCCCACAGACACCCCATGCAACTGCAGGATACATCCCTCCCAGCCTACAAGTGTGTCCTACTTGCATCAAGGAACCTTCTTCAACATGGCACAGGCAGTGTGGGACATCAGAAGCTGTCCCCCTGATGAGCCCCCCTCACCTCAGGGGCTACCAGAGTGGCCAGAGGACATCCCTGACCTTCAGACGTGGTTCTTACACACCAGCTCTTCCTGGCCCAAACCACATTCACTGCTAAGTCATCAGAGATGGTCCCAGTGCAGAAGGATGGATGCCCCCATGAGAACTACTGGATTTCTTCACCTAGAGCATGTAATTCTTCTTGCATCATGGTCCTGCTACAGCCTTCTCACTACAGTGACCCAAAGCTGCAGAGTTACAGTCTTCTCTACTTCTTGGGGAGCAGAGGGGAAAGGAGAATAAACCATGTGCTTATGGAAGTTGAGGTATTACTCTCTCTGTTTGCTTTCATCTACTACGTGCTTTGCATGACACCCCCACAACTCACTCAAGAATCCTTCCTGTGCAGAGGCAGAGAAATTTCCCAGCACACAGGGGTTATGGGGCCCATGGTCTGCTCCTCCCATCTGGACCACGCAGGCCAGATGCTGTGCACAGATTTCTTCTACCACCCAGGAACAGGAAGCACCGGCTCCAGATCAAACCCTGCACCTCTAAACAGCACCACAAGAGCTCAGCAGCACTACACACTCTGCTCCTGGCTTGCTGAAGGCGGGCCTGAAGACATACCATCAGCAAGAGCCAAGTACTCGCTCTGCTAGGGCAAAACACCGTACCCTGAACAGCTCACAAGCAAAAAGCAAAGCATGCTTGGCAGACCTGCAATTGCCCAATGACAGCAAATGCCACAAGGCACCAGTGCAGCCAGCCACCCACCACCAGCCAGTTCCCTGCCTGCAAAAGTGACTTCTCGGCACCTGCCTCCCTGCCAGGCTGAGCTGGTGGCTGGCTGGCACACTGTGCTGCCCGACCGCCCAAGAGCCACACCAACAGCCGCATCATGCTGCCCACCCGGGCATTCTGGGTTAGTTAGTGGGATCATTCGTGCACAGCTTGGCCTATCACCGCTTCCTAACTAGCAAGTCGTTAGTTTCTCCCTCCTCCTCCTCCCCACGCACCTCAGCGAGAACTCTGCTCTAGCCTGGAGGAAGATGGTGAGCCACAGCGCTGATTAATTTTCACAGCACATAAGGGAGTTGCTAGCCCTTTAAGTGTCAGCCAGTCTCGCTCGCTCGCTCTTGTCCTCCAGGGACCTATTAATAGCAGCTGGAAAGATCACATCACTCTCTGGATATTTATACCCCTCATTCCACACCAGGAGAGATTTATATTAGAGCTGCCGTCCCAGCGCCTGCCCAATTGCTCTGTCAAACCGCTAGCAGGGGGAGGGGAGTGGAGTGGGGAAGGAGACATGGAGAGGGCAAGCGGAGAGGAGGAGAAGGTCCATATGGCACAAGCTGCAAGCGTGAAGCACAGCCACTGCCTGGCCAGCCACAGGGAGCCTTCAGCCTGCTGGAAGAGGCTGCTGCCAGACAGCATTCCAGAAAGCAAGCCCTGCAGCAGCTCCCACTGCCGGTGGCCCACAGCCCCTGCCTGCTGCGAGGGAATCTTCACAACACATTGCATCACGGTCCTGGGGGTCACAAACCGACCAGCACCAGGGTGCTACCACTGCCATCCACATGGATGACAGGCTGATGCAGGTCTGCCTGTGGCACACCTGCATACCCACGGTATTGCATTCCAAGTAGATCCTGAAGTGCTTAACCAAGAATGTGAATGCTGAGCAGCACTGCAGCACAACCCCAGTACAGCATAGTGTAGGCATGTGGATACCCTGGGGAGCGAGGAAGAAAACTGAAGCCCTGCTAAGATCATGCCTGCAGCATCCAGAAACTAACACTTCAGATGCAGCCCCCAGGTCAGATGCAGGGAGCAAACACATGGATCCTGAAGGACCTAGCAGCCATCACAACGAAACCTTCATATGCAGTCTGCAGCATGGATGAGCCTCGCTGGTTGCAAGGTCCCTCCAGAAGATTGTATTTTTGGAGCATCTATCCTTCATTCTGGGAGCATATCCATCACCCTGCCTCAGCCAGTTGCAGGATGGGAAGCCACTATGGGCTGACAAGGGGCCCTGGCTCAACCTTGGCAATTCCTTCATGTCTTCACCAAGACCGACTGCACTTCCCTCGCAATTCCTAACGGGAATAACGCCAGAAGCAGCTGCCTGTGGATTCTGCTCTGCTTTCAGGAGTAGAAACAGTTGGATCCTGTTGCAGATGCGTAGTGGGGATCCACCCTGGCCTCCCATCTGTCTGGTTGCAGCATGCCGATAGGCATCCTGATTGCTGTGAACTCCTTGCACAGACCCCTAGATTCAAACTAGATTCCAGCAGGCATGACACACATCTGGACAGCAGAAGAGAATTAATTATAAAGTAGATACATTGACATAGGGAGACAAATGATCCAAAACATCTTGAAAAGAACATGACAAAAAGGAGATTGCATAGAAATCTGGCTCCCTCTGCAATTTAGCAACACACCCACTCCAGCCCAGTAGTTTTAAAGACATTAGAAAACTTAATTCCCCGTGGTCAAAGCAAGGAGCTGAGGCTCCTGGCTTCTGCCCGCAGCTGCTACCAATTCCATGACTGATCCTGAGCAAGATGGACTGTTTCTGGGTGCCTCAATTCCCCTGTCATTGAAAGGGGGGCACAACCCATCCTAACTCATGCGTGGAGGGAGGTTTACAAGGCACAATAAATATCACTGAAGAACGAAGAGCTACAGCAAAATGCAGAGAGCATTTGCGCCTGGTACATATGAAAAGCCACAGCTTTAAATCAAAGACTGGGACCTTAGCAGACAAGAAACCTCAGAACAAAACAAGAACTGCTTTCAGTAAGTCCCCTCAGGTATGGTCTGAGCAGCAGCAGAGCGGGAGGAGGAACCTCTGTGTGAGGAGAGACTGGGCTGACATATTTCCAATCCCGGAATTGCTAGCTGATAGTTCAAGAAACCTGAAACCCCACTGCGTTACAGGAGGACTTTCTGGTGAATCATGCTCCTGCTCGCTCAGACAGACGATAACACAGATTCCCAACTCTGCCACAAGAATGCGGAGCCTGAGCCTGCCTCGGGATGGGGCAGGCACAGCTCCCCGCTGCCAGCCTGCCTGTCCCACAGCATCCACGCCTCGGTGCTGGCTGACATCGCTGCTGTGCTATCCCCGTCGGAAGAAAGAGTGAGAGCGCAAGCCGGGAAACCAGAGTCACAACAATTCATAAAGGAAGGAGCTTCACTGCACCTCCGTCCTGTGAGATGCTGGGGAGAGCTCTTGCGAAACCCAGACAACCACTGACTCGTGCACTCCCAGCGAAGACCAGAACCCTGAGCTGTGCTGACATGCCCCGCAGCTCACAAACACCCAACGTACAAGATGGGTCGTGATAGAGTGATGCAATGAGCAAAAAGTAACCCGGCCTCTCTCTGCCTGCCAGTCCTGGAAGAAACAAGACCAGGTTGCCATTGCAAACACCCTCTAAGCACATGGCCTCTGCTGATAATCACCCACCTGCTCACTGCAAGCATCAATCCTGGGACAAGCCTGGTCCAAAACATCCTGTGGACACTACCATAATCTCCAGTGGAATACCCTGGCTTTGAAAATGAGAGTTACTAAGCAAGCTCAACGTCTTCTTGAAGAAAGGCATTAAGCAGAGAACAGCGAAAGGAGAGACCCCAAAGACCTGCCACCCCCACCTGAAATACCTCTCACCCCAAATGTGGATGAGATTACAAGCACTCTGCCTAACACCATGCCAAGATTACCAGTCCTCCCAGGATTAAGAGCAGAAAGGGTTGGAACATCTCCAAAGAAATACCATACTATTTCATTAAAGTCAGAGGCACTTTCCAGAAAAAAAAAAAAAGGCAAACTTTCCAGAAGCAAGACTTCTGAAGTCCAAGACTCTTGGATAATTTCTGATTTGAGAAAAAGACCAGAATCAGAAACTTGACCTTTTCCATGCAAAAATGGTTGTTCCAAAACAATTATTTTCGCAAGACCATTCTATGGGGTTTGAGTCTGTTCCAGTGAAAAACAAAACCCTTAAAAACAGTAGCAAAACAAC